CACACACACACACACACACACACACCACACACATACATTTACCATATGGACTGAGTAGTACCCAGCAAAATGAAATGGAACATTGAGTTAAGATATACATGGATATGTAGAAGTAATTAAAAGTGCAGGATTTTTTAACAAAGCCATTATAAGAAGTTAATACCAGAACACTTGATTTTTCAGACAATGGATAAGATGGACAAGATCGTGTACAGCATTGTCCACATGCCTAACCAGCCGGACAATTTCAAGAAGGCTCTCCTGGTGAAGCTAGTGCACTCAACCACACTCAAGACCAGTAAGCCAGTGGAACAAGCAGATGCAAATGCCATATTTGACTGCTGCATCAACATCCTCACAACTACAGAAAGTGATGGTGCTGCCCAGCTTGCTGTTTTTGCATTTAGCAGCTGGGCAGGGCAGTACAAAGCTTACCTCAAGGAGTACCTCACCACAGAGAGATTTACGAGTGTTATGAGCTCGCGACGCAATGTCATACCTCTCCTCTCATGGCTAAAGGAAGCGCTATGTCACTTGTCCGAAGAAACACATGTCATAACTGCAGCTGCTCCTGTGAGTTTAATGTTGTTATTAATTATATATATGTGTATTTTTTATGGTAGTTTCATGGTAATATCTTAAGATATTAGGAAATCTAGATAGTTGTGCTATTTCAACTGTAGCAATATTGTCAGTTGTGCTCAAAGGAAACAATGATTTGCACCTAGCTTTTATTTAATTTCACCATATGAAAGATAATTGCTAAATTAAAGTAAAGGTGGAGTAGAATATGTTTGCAAACTAACATATACATGCACACTCATACTCACAGCATGTCTACATTCACAGTGTATCCTTACTCGTACCTGCATTTATATTTTGTTTCCCCATTTACTAGAAACCAAATCTTAGTCTTCTCAGTTACTAATGACACCATCGTTTTACCAGATTTTGGAAGGCATCCTCCAGAACATGCTGAGAGAATGTGGGGGAAGTTCTGCATTTATAGCCAAACTTTCGGAAGTCTACGTAGTCTGCCCGGCTCTGTTGCCACAACCACACACTCGGCTCACTTTCACTGTCATGCTTATGAACTGTGTTGCTTCCTTTCCAACTCCAACAAAGACTGAGGTATGTGGTGGAAAGTAGTCTGCATTGAAAATGAGTAAGAGGAAGGAATGAAGGGGAGAGGAAAAAAGAAAGAAAAATGAGGGATTGATAGATGTTAATGAAAAGATCTTATGAGTAACATGTTTGAAAATATAACTGAATCTCTTTATATAGGTAATGATCTTTCAACCTATATAGAAAATTTGAGATACTTTGTCAATACCATAGATGAATTTTTGTTATTATTAGACTTTATGTATTGTAGTACCTCTTTATTTTTTTTTTATTAGAGATACCCATGGAGTTATTTATCAGTTATGTGGATTGTTGGATACATAATTGATTAATTTCAGGGATTGTTGGATACATAATTGATTAATTTCAGGTTCTGGGGCACATGAAAAGCATAGGTGGATTGGTAAATACACTATGGAATGGACTGCGATTAGAGGACATCCTTCACTCTCTTCATGCTATGTATGCAATCATATCCAACACAGGTAAGGAGTTATTTTAGGTCTGTTGATTTCGAATACTAAATAATTCTATTGTGCATAATGAACTTTTATTAAGAAAATAAATTGTTAGACTATATGAGGCAGGCTGTTTTATTCACCAAGACACAGTAGCTAGCAAATTTAAGGGCCTGACTAAATAGCAGATGTTCAACTCTGTAGAGTTATGGTATGTTATGTAGAGCATCAGTTGCTGTGTTTTTATGGCAGAGTTTATATTAAAGTAAAGATTACACTTTTTCTTGTTTCTATAGGGAACATGTCACTAATTTTATTTAGTTACTGTGGTGAACATGCCAAGGATTTCTTGTAGTTCTGCATTTTTACAGTATATTTTTTCTTTGTAGGTTGGAATAAATTATACTTTATTGGTGACATTGAAACATTAGTGAACTACAAAGATTTGTTTTAAGAAAAAGTACTTTGTTTTAAGAGGGTAAACATGAACTTTGACATGAAATTACTAATGTTTGTTTGAAATAGGATAATCAATATAACAAGAGTTGTTGATTGGATCAGAAATGGAATTACATTGAACTTTTTAACAATGGATATATTCAACATTTGTATGACTAATGTCTGTATTTTGTAATCATACAGATGGAGGCTCAGAAGTTTGCCCTGCCATGGCACACCTGCTCTCTCTGGTCCCAACTGTGGTTGTGGAAGGCCTGGCTCCAAAAATAGTGTCCGATCCAACCACCACCGATGCTGCCCTTGTAGCAACACTCACTCGCCTCACTGCTTGGCTGGTTGCCTGGCCGACAGCTCACACCACTCTTGGTCTGTGGGTGCGGACACTTGTCAGGCTGCTGTATAAAAGTGGACGAACAGCTGTTCCTGCAAAAATTACACTGGAGCGTGTGCCCAAGGTAAAAAGAATCAAGATTTAGTATATAAATTTTTTTGATATCTTTGGTCATGTAGTAACCAAAAAATAAGGAAGATTACTTCTTTTTTATGTAAAATTATATTTCTTTTATGGGTAAATGAAATTTATTACCTGTAACTAGTATTTTTTTTCTTTCTTTTTATTTATTTTGTAAACTACAATAGTGCTGTTTACTGTGTTTGATTACATTATGATTAGTGTTGAACACATCGCATATCATATAATACCTCCCTAGTTTTTATTTATTTTCTTAACAGTGTTTGAAACAATAGAGTGAACAGCTACTCCAAGGAAGATGGACCAGGACTTGAAGTTCTTACATATTGCACATAAGGGATGCTGAAAGTATGCAAAGATGCATTATGAAATAATCACTCGTATCTGAGTGCTTTGCAGTTGTTGATTAATGCACAATATGTAAACAACAAAATTGATCAGAATTTTACTGCATTTTACTTAAACACTGAAGATATATGATGCAGAAGTAATCATGTCCTGTGGATCCAACTTTTGATTTTTGTTATGTGGTCTTTGATCACGTGTTTAGTACTCTATACTGCTATTAGATTTTTTTCCCTTACTGTTAGGCCTGTGTTAATGATGTTTATGAAGAGTATATGTATTTTTTTAACACTGGGTAGATGTCTTTCATGCTTAGGGTGATATAAAGCAATAATGTGGTTTGCTTAGGTCAGCGTCAAGTGCCTGCATGCTTCCCTGCTTACAGCTTCCACAGCTGGCTAGTCTGGTGTGAAAAATGGAGCAGCTTTGTGTAAGCCTCCCCTAATAGGACATAACCTTTCAGTCCTCAAGACTTTTGCAGTTACAACTTATAGAAAATGGGCCCCTTGTGGTTCTATGCTAAACTGTGAAGGACCTTTGAGTAGCTGGAGGCCCTAGAGGGACAGAGGCATGGTCCATTAGCATGTGGACATTTCCTGGTTTTGTACCAGCTCCTGTTCTTAGAATCAATGGGTGCTTTTGGGAAGTAGTCCTTGCTAGTCTGCCTCCCTGAGGGAGACCTACTGACAGTGACTCTAATAAATGGAAAAGCCAGGAGAAGGGCAGATACCTTTCCCTCCTGGCAAGCAAGGTGGGTTTGGTTCCCTTAGGGAACATGACTACCAGGATGCAATTAGGGAGCATGTGAAACCCATACTGCCTATGTCCCCATAGCCACCAACCCAGTGTGAGACATATGAGAGAGGGCCTACAGGTGTCCTGCATGCAGACACCGGGTCTTGTAGCCACCGCCAGCCTTTATTGGGGACAGTTTTTTGGAGGAGAGGGAGTGGCAGAGGTGATATCCACCCCAAGTGACTACACAATATAGGGAGTTAAGTTGAAGGCATGGAATTTCTGCTTTATGCGACAGAATGATTAATTGCCACTACTATTGAGGGAAGGAATCTACTGAAGTATAAGATTTAAAAGTTCTCTGGACTGATCTGGAGTATCAGGAGTCTTGCTAAGGAGGTTAAAAATCAGGAATCTTGAATGGTTGGTAACTGCAGTAATCTTCCTTAGGAGGGACAATATACAGTATATCAGGAGTCTTGCTAAGTAGGTTAAAAAACATTTCATAGTAAGTGACCTTGATCCTGCCTATCAAACCTTGAGAAAGCCAAACTCAAAGCCTCCTCACAAATGTCTGCATTTTGCTCAGGTGGTGGTACGGTCATCCCAGATTATGTTTAGGTGTAAGAAAGTTGGGCTGAGTATTTTGAGTACCTGTATCAGGTTGAGCCACTGACAGCCTGGACTTGGGTGGTGTTGACATTTACCTATCAGTGTGGAGCTTCATGCCTTGACAGATGTTAGAAGGAGGATCTTCAAGCTGAAGTGTAGTAAGTTATTTGTGGCATCCCTGCTGAACTGCTGATGTCTGGTAGTAAAGCCATGGCATGTGGATTGCTTACTGTCCTGGCATCTATCTGGCAGTCTGGAACCATTTCCTCAGACCTGTTGTGTGATATTGTCATCCCTCTCTGGGAAGGGAGAGGGGATTGTTTTGAACTGTATCAGGTACCAAGACATTATGCTGTTCAACATACCTGGCAAGATGCTCAATCTCATCCTTGTGAGACATATCAGAGATCACCTACTGAGGTACCAGAGACTTTGAGCCATATGAATTCACTTGTGGTAGATCTATGATAGACTGTATCATTGCACTTCAAGATTTTAAGATATTGTGTCATGCTTGTAGGTTACTTCAACCTCAAGAAGGCATTTGATTATCTATTATGAATCACTGTAGAAGATCCTGGGACTTAGAAGAATTCCAACAAATATTATTAGCTTGACAGCAAGCCTCAATGCAAATACTGAAAGTGCTGTAAAGTATGGTGGGGGCATCTCTATCTTCTTTCCTATGAATTCGGGATTGAGGTGGAGTTGTGATCTTGCATCAACTCTTTTCAACAATTTCATGGACTGGGCAGAGGTGTCATTCAAATTCAAAATATAACTACGCTGGGCAGTATCAAGGTCACTTATTGTGTCTTTGCTGCTTATTATGCCATCTTTGGAGACCCTGTTGGTGGCTCATGATTTATTTAGCAGTGATGTGAAGCTCTGGGTCTTGGGGTCTCTTGGACCAAGACTAAGATGCAGGACTTGGTGGGTCTGCTTGAACTTGCTTAACAAGATTATTTTAAGATAATTTGTAATTTCTTTCAAAATGTATTAATTTTATATATTTTGAAATAAAATTTGTAATAAAATACAAGCTCAGTTATGATTATTGAAAATCAGTAATGAAATTTTAGGACATCTTTTTAGCTCAATATAAAGTGATGCACCCAAACATTATGAGTGGTCACTATGTAGCAGGTGTATTTAAGCCTAGTGTAAGGTGACCTTGATGATGTTACTAACCTTTTCTTCTCTTTTCTTTTAGCTTTTGGCACATGTCCACATCCCAGTCGTTCGGTCTGGGGTCATCGCTGTCAGTTCAACCTTATTGCTATCTTTTCAACATTCTCCAGTAGCTTTCCATAAGGTAATGTAAAATATATATTTAGTATGAGTTAGAAGATAGATTTTCTGGGAAATGTTTCTATTTACATTTGTTTGTTTGTTTGTTAAGGACTTGCCTTTACTTTGTTACTTTGTAACCATAGTCTACCTCTTACGTGCAGAACACAATACGTTGCACTTTGAAAGGTGAATTGTGTGGATATCTGGCTTAGGAATATGGTTGCAGCAAGGGATATTTACGTTGAAAAAACACAAAAGGCTACTTTGAATTTTATATTTATGTAGTGCCGGAATATGGGAAATGTGAAAATGTAATAGAGCAAAAAAAATAACAACAATTTCTTAGCACTATGCAGACTTTCAAGAGAGTTAAAAAAGAGAAAGAACTGGACATGTGCTTAGGAACTAGAGACAGGATTTGATTACCTCCCTTCTGGGATGATCTTGAGCATGGAAGTCCACATAACCAAGGTCCAACTAGCAAGCTCTTTGATAGGCATTTGTGGAACATGTCAACACATGCTTTTATTAAACCTAAAAGTTATTTTGCTACAACATGTTCTTTATGAATTTGGTATTTCATTTTTGTATGCTTTAAAAGAGATCTGCATTTATTTTGTTCTTGTATATTTTCCAATTGTCGGTCTACTAGTAAGATTGCTTAAAATGTTTAAGTAGAGTTCATTGTGACAAAGGTAGAAAAAAGTCATGAATGAAATTGAAGAACTTTATTGTGCAAGTATTGTATTTGACATGTTTCTCATATGTTATCATCAGAAATACATGTTTTTGCAAGATTTCAAAACATACTCTTACAGCAGTATAGATCTTAAGATCTACCTGACAACCACCTCTTGCTCCTTACTGAGCTATTTCTTACTGCAACCTTGTATAAATTTAAGTTGCCCAACACAGTGATCATATTCCTCTTTGTTGTGATGTATGCAGCTTCTATTATTTCCTGTTCATCAAATCCTTTATGGAACACATTCGTTTGCATCTAGATATCCAGCTTCATGTAGGTGTGCCACCATGGTGTTGAAAGTTCTATGGTAATACACATCAGCAAGATGTTCATTAATCCTGAAGCTGAAGGCATATCCCATTTTACCCTGATAAGCTTTACCCCATCTACTGCACGGTATGCAGTATACTGTCCTGTCAGGGCTACTTAGACTATATCTTATACCTTTTATTGAATATAGCGGTATGATATTAACAAAATAAGCTTGCTCTTGAGATTGGGTAGTCAGCAACAATTAACAGATGTCATTAAGAATTCAGCTCATGTCTGATATGTGATTGTTTTGTAATTTAGCTGACATATGAATTTCTAGTGGCAATTTAATCAAAGTATGCCAAGTACATGTTTTGTGCAGTGAAGTTATTAATTCTCAAAATATGTGTAGATTGTCTGTCTAAGAACCATTTGCAGCTGGAGAGATGAGAGCTGAGAAAAACATGAATGGTTATTAAGAATTATATATTTATGCATTGGTGGAAGGGAACATATGAATATGGGAATTCAAATGTAGTTAACCAGTTAAAAGTATGCCCTTTAACTCTCAAGTTCAGCTATTTTGAATTTCCACTTTTGTGCATAGATACAAACCAGTTAAGTGTGACAGCTTGTTATATATTTGTTTATATTTGTTTATTTATATTTCATCATCATCTTCATCATCATCATTGTCATTGCATCATCATCATTGTCTTTATCCCTTGGCCTGTCCCTAGCTTTTCATATAAGCAACTTTCTACAACATTCTCTATTTTTCTATCTTTCATTCATTTGGCTTTTTCAATCTGTCTATCTTTTCATTTATTAATTCTCTCATTCTTTCTTTTTGTTGTGTTTTTGCCCTTGATTTATTGATTCTTTGTCTCTCACTTTGTCTCATTCATTCATGCTCCCTCTCGTTACCTTTTTCTTTGTTTCCCTTTATTCATTTAATCAACCATTCACTCTTTTTCTGTCTGTCTGGCTGAAATATTTGATAACAGCAATGGCTAATCACCTGCATGCATGTCATCAAGACGTAATTTCTTTAATTTTTAGGGTGATATTTGTTGAAAATGTGTACATGGTATAATTCATTTGTTGGGCATAATGAAAATGGATTGCCCATCATCTTTAAGTAGTCATATTTTCCTTTTCCCTATACTCTGTCATTGCTTACCTGTAAAATTAATTACCAGTTAGATTACTTTTGGATTTTTATCATAGTGAAGAACTTTGATTTCAGATTTTACCGCAAATCATCGACCTGTTTGGACGCCTAGAGAGGGAGGGGTCGGAATCAGCCTCAACAACATTAAATCGCCTTGCAGTCTTGTGCCACACACTCATGGTCCTCTTCCCTGGCCATCCAGATCAGTACCAGCCTCTTGCTGACGTTCTTGAGGTATGTTGTTTTGATATAATTTGACACTGGGGTAAATTAAACCACCAAATGGACTGGTTTAATGTAGAGCACCTTCCATATTTGGGTGCTGGTGTCAGAACATGATAGATATGATATGTATTATGTAAAATATTGCTTGTGCGATTAGGAATGCAAAAGAATTATATGTAATGGGAATGATTAACCAAAAATGAAGGTGATGAATGGAAGTGTCAACAAGATTAGCTTCTGGTATCCCTTGTTTAAAAGCCCAGCTGAATTGGCGAACATTTGTCTGTACTAATTGATGTGGATAGGTTCATTGGATCATATTCTTTTCAGTAGACTCTATGCTTATTTCAGAGGAAAATTTATTTAATTGAAAATAGCAGTGGGCCAAATATGTTAAGATTCACTCAGAGTACATATTTCCATCAGTTTCATTCTGAAGCATTACTTTTACCATCATTGTTTGGTTGTCATTTTCTAGCTATTTATAGACAGTTTTATTGGGAGTTGGTATTTGTAGTCCTGGCACCAACTAGGAATACCTGATCTGTACTGTGGTGTCTATTATAATTTTTCTTTAATTTTGTGTGTGGTGTGTGTGTGTGTGTTGTGTGTGTGTGTGTGTGTGCGTTGTGCGTTGCGTGTGCGTGTTGTGCGTGTGCGTGTGCGTGTGGTGTGTGTGTGTTGGTGTGTGTGTGTGTGTGTGTGTGTGTGTGTGTGTGTGTGTGTGTGTGTGTGTGTGTGTTTTTCTTTGTTTGTTTTAAATGTCCACTAAGTCCATCCTCCAAGACCTTTGTGCACTTGTGGCAAGTCATCCCTGATGGTACATTCCTATTACCCTGGCCCTTATCCAAATTTTTCCATGACCTTCAACTATTTTTTCTTCATGAGGTGATGGTCATGTCATCCAAATCCAATAGGTAAACCTAATAATGATTAATGAGAGAGACATACTCTCTTACTCCCATCTATCGACTCTACATCTCTGCTATATGCTAAAGGATGTTTTTTTAAACTGTTCCGTAAAAATAACAGTGCTTGTTATATGCAGTGTTGTACTCTGAATAGTCCCATCTGTGGTAGCATCCAAAAGAAGTAATAAAGATATGTTACAATTGTCTAGACTGCAAAGCATTTTGTAAGGATGAAAGCGGGAAGTTTGTTTTATACTCTTGCCATGTTGACTTCTTCCTTTTATTGCTAGGTTGATCAAAGTTGTTGCTTTCCATGGTTACAGCATAAGTGTAATGTATGGAGTGTTTTAGGTGACTGATTACCCTCTTGGATCTGGGTGCTTCACTTCCCGCTTGTTGCCCAAAATTCAGCTTAACCCATTGGCGCCGGGTGTCACTACATGCCATGGCTGTTGTGGACCAAATGCCGGGGCATCATGCCATGCTCATTGCTACTGGCTTGTCGGAAGGAGGTTGTTTTTCTCCACTAGTAGCGGCTTCATTTATATGGTAAAGATTTAGCAATGGCACCTAAAGTGAAGGTAAACCTTCGAAATTTTAATATTTTTATAAATTATAGCAAAATAAAAGCTTTTAGGTGCTATATGTCGCTCGCAAACTACCGATCGAGCTGGGCACAAACAGGGGAAACTGCCAGTGTGCGCCAACGGTGCATACGTAAACTTGACAAAATTTTTACCCGTTGCTGATGGGTTAAGGGATCACTCGCATTTGTTTGGCTTGTAGGCTGGGCATACAGAAACACTCATGCGAGGTGTCAAGACTCCTTGTCTTCCTTTTGTAATGTTATTATCTCTTTTTCTGCATAATTGCTTTGTACTTTGTTGCCATTTCCCAATGTCTTTATTAGTAATTTGATATGCTGTATCCATATGGTAATAGACATTTCCTTGTACAGACTCCATATCATCACTGTCGATAGTCATTTCCGTCACCCTGGTCTCCAGCCAAAATTCTCATGATATACTTCCTTTCCCTTGCCCCTCAACCAAATTTTTTGTAACTGCATATTCACATCACCCACCACTAGGCCATTTTTTTTTTTTTACGACATCATCTGGATCCAAGGGGTTAAAAAAGAACAATAGTTTATTGGAAAGTTGAGAGGATGCTTTGAAATAAAACCCAATACAGTTTTCAGATTTGAAGATGGAGTCTCCTCAGTTGCGAAGTGGTCATCTCACTTCCATGATAAAAAACAGAATTTGGTGTTTTAATTTTCCATGTCCATGCAGCATTACATTTCATCTATCAAAGGCAGATGAAAAACATGTCTCCCCCACACAGAAATATCAGCCCCCATCTGAAGAAGAGATCCAAGACCTCATTCAGGAGCATCGGTGGGGCCACATAGAGGGGAGAATTCAGGGAGCCAAGAGTCAGTATGGAGGACCTGCAACGACGGACGGTCTTCCTGTGTACCAGCAAAGACCCTTAACCCAGAGAGCAGGGCTTCGGAATCTTGGAAATACCTGTTACATGAACTCAGTCATACAGGCTTTGTTTATGACTGATAGGTAAATCTGCTAGGCTTGTTGATCTGGATAAGTGCTAGATATCAAGAGGGCGTGTTAGAAAAGATTCCAAGTAGTGTGTCATGTATTGATGTCATATTACTTAGTGAATGTGAACGGACTGTAAGTGCAAAGAAATGTAGATTTAATGTTTAGTATTTGTAATGCATGTGAAAAAAACTGTGATATCCAAGTTTCAGATGACGGTGAATGAGGAGGTGGTAAAGAGAGAATATTAGCCTTAGAATGGTGCTATATAGATACAAGTTCATTATATATGACTTGCCTCAAAGAAATCCTTCCATCAAAGCTTCCTTCATGTATGTGATTTTTTTTCTGCAAAAACAGGTTTGCATTAGGGTATTTTATTGAAGGGATTAATTTATATACCATTGTACAGCTTAGTTCAGTTTTGAGATCTGTTATTGTGGCATGTGAAATCAGTCTTTGATAGATATTTTTTATTTTTTTCTTTGCTGTTTTTTTTTCAGTGTAAACTTCATACAATGTTTATATTTTTCACATGTTAGACAAGGGAGGGAATTAGTAATGGAATCAAGTTAAGCTCACAAGACATTATATTAAAATTAGGTTATAAGCCACTATGATTTATGTTCGTTAGGTATTTTGCGCTTTATTAATGGTATGGATTTTATATTTGTAAAGTTTAATTGATGATTGCCCAAAATCATAAACTACTGGCATTAAATAATTTCTTGGGTTTTGTCAGCCATTCTTAGCATGCTATAAATATCAACAGCTTCCGGCATGGGATCCTGCTTGCTGTACCGAGAAACAATCAACAACTGCTGGTAAGATTACAGCAGCTGTTCAGCCTGCTCTGCTTCACCCACCGCAGTTACGTTGCCCCACGGTTATTTCATGACAAATCCCGACCTTCTTGGTTTAGCCCCGGTATGCAGCAGGACTGCTCAGAATATCTCAGGTGAGGGTTTTACTGTGAATTAGATTTGGCAAGTTTTTCTTGAAGATAATTTTTTTCTTCTTCTTCTAGATATATTAAATAGGAGTTTTTCCTCTCTGTTTCCCAGCTATGATTTAGTCTGTTAAGTGGCTTTGTTAAGCATTTGTTTTCTCAATGATTGCAGAATTTTATCAGAATAATCAGTATTATGAAATCTTTGTTTGCAGCAATCAGGTTCTTGGATTATTATTGTAATTAGGGAAGGTAGAGGTTGAGTTAACCAAACAATGTTGGGTATTGCATTGTCCCCTGGAATTTTTTTTTGTGAATTTTGTTTATGCGTGCAGGAGCGCTTAGTCAGGCCTACCTGAACGCACATGATCTCCCAACTCCTTGAATTTTATGCTGCGTTTGGAACTCCTCATCTTGCTCATCCAGACAAATTGTCCAGCAGGACAAGGAGGCCGCCTTCGGACCTCAAGACCCTTTCTGGCCAGATGCAATCTGCCGAATGTAAACATTCATTTTTATCACACTGGTGCCTTTTTTACATTGCATAGGTTTTGTACCTCCTTTGATGCATATTTAACTTACTTTTAATTGACGAACACAAAAATATCCTTTGATAACATCAGTAAAGGGCCATAAAATTCCCCATCAATACATTGTGGTTGCCTGCAACTGTCATTGTTTATATACAAAAGCTATTGTGACATCATCTCGTCCAGCTCGCCCAGCTTCGCAGGAGGGTGACATGAACGAGGTGGACAACTTGTCCAGGATGAGATAGTAGAAGTTCCCAAGGGTCAAGACCTCTTGTCCAACTGGTCTGGACGAGCAGGATGAGCAGTTCCGAATACAGCATTAGGGAAACAGTTTTATTTTCTCTAATGCTATAAATATCATTACTTTTTTATTATTATTATCTGGTATTGGGAGTACTATGATATTACCAATAATAATAGCAAGAAGATTTTTGGGATGGGAAATTTAAGGGAAAGGATGAATAGGTGAGATCAAATAGGACTAGTTATTGACTCTTTTGGTGATACATAAGAACAAGTTCTGATTTGAGAATAGCATCAATCCCAATAACTCCCAGAGAAAATGTCTGCTTGTTGCCCTGTGCTTGCCTTGGCGAACATAAGTAATCCAACCTCGTGGCGACAAATGACCATCTTTTTTTCTCTTGTTGAACATTTTCATTGATTCTGAATCTAATTAAAGGGATTTCATTGGCTACATGAAACTCAAAACCAATACAAGACACAGGTTTCATTGAAGTCTCCCATTAACATACCATCTGTTGTCAAAATTGCATGAAAAAGAATGACTGGTAGTGCCAGTTTTGCAGAATAAAAAGACAGCATGTCACAGCAAAGAATATCCATTGTAACAAATGGAATTAAAACTAAGCCTTTAAACCTTTAAATGCAACTATTAGCATTATGAATTGCATAACTTTGTCTTGGTTTGTGTATATATTTTTTGTTGTTGTGTTATTTTCCTACAAATTCATAAAAATTACATATGGGCTACTTCATGGTACTATTTCAAAAAGCAAGAAAATAATGATAGATAATGAGTGTTTTAAATAAAAAGTTATTTGGAAATTTGTGCCTGAACCTCTAAAAAACATAGTTTCTCTAAAAAGAGCCAAAAATGTCATTTTTAGGCATTACCGAGATGTCTTTAACCCACTAGTGCTGGTATGCTTGAAGCTGAAAATAATAGTTTCCGGGCGGCTTCAAAATCGGCTTGTAGGGCTGGCCTGGAATCTGCCTGCGTGTCAGCTGCGGCAGAATTGAACGTCACCCTGGCGGGATGCCCGGCAATATTTATCTTTCTGGGTGTCTCATATGTGGGACACCCATTGTAAATGGGTTAAACCTCAAATAATATCTGCGAAACTTACCAAATCTTTGCTTGACTTTTGGAAGGTTATTTGACCACATCAGATTTACCCTAAAAAGAATTTGGGATTCACTTATGTATTTCAAGTGAATATTCATTGCAGTGCAATAATTTGATGTATTAGAAAAAAAAACTATTTGATCCAGTGATTTCACAGATCTGGATTGTAACTTCAAATATAATGATAGTTGTGGGATGAGAATAAACTTTTTTTTGTGGAATTTTTCTAGAAGTAACTTTTCCTTGATGAAGACTCCTGTGCTTTCTTATTTTGGGATATTTATCACTGTTTCAAATTATGATATTATAGGAAAATTAATTCGATAGTACAGAGTATATGATTTTGCAATATTATTGCCTTTACACATAGATGGCTTTACAAGTGCTTAGTTAGTTATTAGTCCTACCTATCTCACCTGTTTACCATTTTCCTTTATTTTAGGAAAGCTTCTTTTTTATTATTTAATAGTCTTTAATGTTATTAATATTTTGATGACAATTTGATAACTGTATCAATCAGGGTAAGAACGGGTTGTGTCACAGCAGTCACATGGCCAAATATACGGGCAGTTGATTACATATGTTGGCTTGTAGGCCAGGCATTTTCCAATGTCCATATTTGTCTTTTGATTTCCTTTATCCAAATGGTAATAGATTATTTTTATTACACAGACTCCATATCATCTCTTTATGTAGTAAATAATGCAGTGCAAGAAAAACAAGTAACATTTGATATTTGTGTCATACTTTTCATTTTTCATCATTTTCAATTTTCCGTAATACAACCTACACTGCCAGTCATGGTGGCCTGAAATACGATTTTGAGCATGAAAATGGTATCCTCCTGGAGCCATTGCTCTTCCAGGCACGGCTTATGTTCCACACTCCTTGATCAAAGGAAATCATGCAAAAGCCCCTTTCTAAATACTGGATGAGTCTAATCACACTCCAAGAGGTTTGTGCTCTTGCGGTGAGTCTTTTCTGTTACCCTGGCCTTCGCTCATGAAGACATCACCCGGCCTGTGTCCATTTTGTCCCAGGATAGTATGTTCACGTCTCCTGGCTCTTGACCCAAATTCTTCCATGACGGGATGGTCACGTCACCCGATTCATGGGGGTTAATTTGTTTTAGTATACTTAAGAAAGCTATGACAAAGAAATTTCTTTTGCATGTTTCCTCCCACCTCCCCCTTAAGATGTAGGCCTGTGTATAAAAATTATGTGATGATGCAGAAGGGGGAGAGTTTTTTCTGCTCTCTTTTATCCTAGCATGCTGATGGCAGTACTCAGTTACAACTGTTGGCTGAGAGAGGCTGGCAGGGTACAAAGCATAGATCTAGCCATTGCAAAGGCAATACTTTATCACTGAGCTATTCCTCTCTGAGATTTGTTACATGGAAAAGAAAGTAAACATGAGTTTCATTGTTCTTGCCTAAAGAGATAAGGGAAAAAATAAAAAAGGCAGCCCATTAAAAGTAAAAATAATGAAAATGAAATTGATAATACTGTGGCCTTTGTAAAGAAACAGACTAATTATGCACATTGCATATATTGTATATGGTTGTATTTATGTACTCTTGCATTATAGATGCTTCTTGTCAGAAAAATTGTGAATTTTGTTGTATTTTTATTTACAGCCAGGGTGAATAAGTTATAAAATTAACACTTGCTTAAATGATTTTAAAGAACTCACAAGGAGATGGAGTAGTAATTAGCCATGTTAAATCAGTTTTACACCTCAGATGAAGAAATTTGGCAACTCTGCATTTCCCCTCTATATGAGTGGTGGCGTAGAGAGATGAATTAGGTTTACTCATTATGTCATAGTATTGTGTAATTTGTACATCTTCCTAGCATTTCAACCTAGAATTCAAAATATGACATAACCTTACTGCCTATGTCTAATATTATTTCCCATTTGTTAAAACAGGCACTTAATGATTACACTGCACGAGGAAGAGCGAGCTGGACAGAAGCTGCCAGAGTACCAGGAGAGATTCATAATTGAGAGTGAAACTGCAAGTGTTGCATCAGATCTTCAACCCCTTCCGTATGATTCTGCAACAGAAGATTTTGTAGAAACTGATTCAGTCACCAAGAGTTTTGTGTGTGCAGATGAACAGTCAGGAAATGTGGATGTGTTAGATAAGCAGAAGGGAGAACCTAGTGATAAATGTTTGTTTGGTGAATCAAGCAGACTAACAAGTTTTAGCCAAGGAGCAGACACTGATAAAAGAAAGCCAAGGGACAGTAGCCAGACGAATCAAATCCGAGAGCCTGCTGATGGGATTTCAATGGAAGAACACTTTAAAAGGACTCATGAGGTGTCCAAAAGGCTACAGAATGTGCAAGAAACAAATGACATTGACATGACAGATAGCAGTGAAATGGGAAAAACTGCAGCCGCGGGAAGTAGTGCAATATCCGAGAATGAAACAGAAGTGAAATATGGGGATACTGAAAATACGTTAGAGGCTATAGAGATGGACACTTTCTCAGAGGGTAATTCAAAAGTAAATAGCTATAAACGTAAACATAAAATGCCAGCTGATGGCATCCACAGGCAGATGTTAAAATCCCCTAAAGGAGATATGACGTCAGATATTGATAACAGTTCTGATAGTGGAATAAGTGGTGATCTGGCTGAAGATATTGATATACATATTAGTAGTCCCAACCCCAGTAGCCCTGTTTCCAAGGAACAGTTAACCGACAACCAAAGTTTGATTATTGAAGAATTACGGACAGAAAATTCAAGCAGTGCGGAGAAGGAAAATGAATATTTTGTTAGTTTAGTACATAGGGTGTTTGGGGGGAAACTAGCAACTTGTATCAAGTGCCTACAATGTAAAACTGAATCTGTACACAAAGATGTATTCACTGACATACATTTAGCTTTCCAGGACACAGATCAGTATAATGCAACTACTGCCATTCGAAGAAATTCAGAAAAGCTAAAACAGAAGAATCAGGAAAATCAAACAGATCTTAGGATAGAAGATATGATTAAAAGCTACTTAACTCCTGAGAGATTAACAGGGGAAAACCAGTATGAATGTGATAAATGCAGTGGAAAGCAAGATGCTGAAAGGTCCATCCAAATCCTTGAACCTCCAGAGCACCTGATTCTGACGCAGCTTAGGTTTTACTATGACACAGTCAGAGGTCAGAGGCAAAAGGTTTTCACCAACGTTGAGTTTGGGGAAGAGCTCTTGCTGCCTGTACACAGCTCAGGGCAAGGAATCTTTGGCGAAAACTGCACCAGTGATGACGTGGGTGTCCTGGGAAGTCCAAGAGAAACGCCAGCCAACAATTCTGTTCAGCCTTCAAGAGATTCCTCACAACTTAGCAGTGGGCACTGTTCCATGCCAAGTTCCAGTACATCTAGTTTACACACACAACAGAGACACAGTGCTCACTCGGAAATTAGTACCATTACTCTGAGTGAAGAGGACTCACAAACTTATAATTCATCTTTTGAAAGGGGTAATGCACTAGATAGTAAGAGTGCTTTTAATAGAAATTACAGAGATGCTTTTTGCAATCCAGATGTCTGTGATGATGTGCATCATCTGAACTGCAGCTGTAATGTGAGAAAATCTGAATGTAGTGATGTATGCAAAGCTTTACAGCATAATTGTGACTGTTCCACAAATTCAGAATCTGTAGCCAGTTGTAGTTATACTGATAACAGTTCTAGACTAGATATTTGTCAACAAGCAGTATCTCAATGTCCATATGGCAGCAATTTACCAATAAAAGAAAACTCTGAATCTCAGGAAATTTTGCAAGGAAGTTGTAGCAACTCCATGAAGTCAGATATACAAAAAGATTCCTCTCCAGAATATTGTATGAGTTCTGGATCCTCAGGCTGTATGACTCCCAATGAAGTTTGTGAAGAACAGGAGCCAACTACTTATGCAAGATACGCTCTTTATGGAGTTGTTGTGCATTCAGGTTTCTCGTCTGAAGGGGGACACTACTACTGCTATGCCAGGAATTCCTCAGCTACGTGTCTCCCAGAAACTGCAAGAGAAAGGTAAGCTTGCAAACAGCATCATTCAGTATGAAGTGGATCTTTCTGTCTGTGTCATTCATAATATTTATGTGTAGGCTTATTCTCAGTAACTCATGTATTCACATGCACATAAAAAGGAACATAAGTACAGTATTAGGAAATATTAGGCTGTGGGCACTGGGATATCCTCAGACATTAAAACTAGAATAAATCCACTCAGTTTCATGTTTCTTACTTTTTTTATATCATTTCATCTTTTTACAAACACTACTTTATTTGTATTTAAACTTGCTCTTAATTTTATGTAATTACAGATCTCCCAAATACCCTACGGTCCTTGTCAAACACAAAGACACCAGTATCCGATAGCTCTGTAGTCCATATCCATTGAACAAATTTGGTTTGACAATAGTGCTTAATGATTAAATTATTATTTTTTTTTAGATATGGAGCACTTGGTGGCTGGTACAACTTCAATGACGAGCGCGTGACAGTTACTAGCTTCTCTTCCATAACCAACCTTACACGAACTTTCAGCAGAGATACTGCCTACCAACTCTTTTATAAGAAGGTAATATTTTAGCATTAACACTTGGAAAATGTCTCCTTGCAGAATATTCATTCGCAAATGATCCACTTTCGTCATTGAACTTTTTCTGTGATGAAGTAGGATCTTTTCACATTAATTTGAGTCAGTGATTTAGGATTTCATGTAACAAGTGTCTCTAAATTTTATGAGCTTGTTCACTTCAGTCTTTTTACAAGCTTCATCATCTCCTTGTTTCTAAATAGTGTGATACTACCAGTACTACTAGTAGTATCACCACCACCAACACCAACACCACCACTAACACCAAACACCACCACCACCACCTCCACCACCTCCACCACCACCTTCATCACCTCCACCATCATCACCACCATCACTACCACTATCACATCACCATCACCATCACCATCATTGTCAAACACCATCACATCACCTCCATCACTACCACCTCCATCACCACTACCATCACCACCACCATCATCACCTCCATCTCCATCACCATCACCATCACACCATCACCACACCACCACACCACCACACCACACCACCACCACCACTACCACCACCACTACCACCACCTTCACCACCAATACTACTAGCACCACTACTACTACTACTACCATTAATACCACCACCACCACTACCACCATCATCATCATTATTACCACCACCATCACCAGCACCACATCCATCACCACCACCACATCCATCACCATCACCACCACCACCGCCTCTACTACTGCCACCACCACTACTACTCTTTACTACAAACACTAACACCAACACTACATCCATTACTACCCCACTACTACTACTACCACTACTACTACCACTGCTACTACTACAAGTACTACAACTTCTACTACAACAACTACTACAACTTCTACTACAACTACTACTACTACTGCTATACTACTACTGCTACTACTACTACTACTACTACTACTATTATTACTATTACTACTACTACTACTACTACTACTACTACTACTACTCCAACTACTACTAAAACTTGTACTGCTATTACTATTACTATTACTATTACTATTGTTATTATTATTACTACTGCTATTACAGCTGTTACTGCTACTACCACTAATATGATTACTACTACTAGTACTATTGGTAATGATGGGTAAAATAGTAGTGTTAATGATTACAATAATAATAGAATAGTAATAACAATTACAGTAATGATGATGTTAATAATGATTAGAATAATGATTTGGATATAGAATATACAAGGTTTACAGCCAAGTTTTCCCCATAACAGCTCAGCAACCATCTGCCCTCGGAAGAACCACTGGTTGAAGATCTGAAGTCCCTGCGGGTGGATCTGCAGGAGGTGGTGGAGAATGACAACCTCCAGTACCGCATCGAGCAAGACCAGGAGGCGCAGCGGAGAAGGTGTCACTTCTCTAGCGGATCTCAGTTCTCACGTGACTCCGACCATGACAGCACACCTCCTCCGGGAGGGTGCGGGGGTGGACCTGGGGGAGGGGGTTTCAACACTCCTTCGCGCGTTGTATTCTAAGCAGGGCAGGGGGTGGTTCCTGTTATGCTGTAAGGAAGGGTTTTGGGAGGGACCTTACTTTGTGCGACCCTGTTTGTTATAACACAGGTATCAGTTGATAAGCAAGCCTGGTATCTGGGTGCTTGTGACGAGATTTCAGTTGAAGCTCATATATTTTGTGCAGCTAAATTATATGTAGAGGTATACTACAGTTTGTTTCACTCTCTTGCGAGTAGAGGTGCGAATGCATAAAAAAGGTGATAGAGCCATATACTGACCTTTTGTTTGAGGGGTAGAGAAATGTTTTGCTTTAGATAGATCATTATGAAAGATATTTTAATTAGGAATGTTTTGATACACAGACCCATACACAGCCATAATTGCACGCACTTACACAAACAGACATATGAGAACAAAGACCGACATGTGAACACAGACAGACATACATGTACAGGGAAATACAGACACACATATACAAATGCAGAATCACATATACACAGATACAGATGCATGAACACACACGATGCACATGCACGCATTTACAATTATATGTACAGACTTTCATATATACCATCAATCAAACTGCGCACATATATTTATATGTATATTGACACTTGTAAACATGATACTTTTTTGGTTTTAGGAAAAAAGCATTGTTAATATATAATGGTTTGATGAAAATAAAAGCATTGTGTACACC